TTTTCAGAAACTTCCCTTATTGTTATAGGTCCATTCCTAATCTATCTTTGTTTCTCTATAAGCCTTGGTAAGTTTTTTAAAAAAATAGTCATCATTTTTTCCAATATCTGGTCCTTTATACAAGTTAGAACAACTCTGTTAATTTTGGTTTTTGTACAGCCACATTGTCCATATCTCCTTCTTAAAGTTTCAAAATCATTTTTCTTTCTCTTTTCTTAATTAATATGCTAACTATTTTCCTAATTTGTTCACAAATTCAAAATTCTTTTAAATTTCAAAAATATTTTCATTTTTCTTACAGGGAACATAGATAACTGTTGTTGTAATTTGATATGACATGCTTATCTTTTCTGACAGTGTCTTTAATTCTTTTCTTTTTATCTCATTTGAAATAGCCTGTATTTTGTCGACTCTTCTTTTTACATTCAGCATTATGTTGTATAAAATAACCTCAAAAGGCTATTCCCTAGTACAGGAGCAAAACAGGAGCAAAACATACAAAACCCACCAGTTGCCAGAACAATATGGAAAGTTATCGTGCTGAGGAGTAGTCTTCCTTCAAATTTCAGATGCTAGGGATTTGGGGCTGGCACTTTCAGAACTTTGGTTTGCTCCAGCAGGAGTTCGTGTTTCACCTTGATTTTGTTTCTCAAAGAAAAAAAACTGAAAAAAATCTCCAGGGTGTTTGGTTGTGAACACTGTCTAGGTGTTCTGAATGATGATTTTATTGCATAAGTTAAAATAGGTAAACCCATCAGCCATAAATCTGGTATCCTGCTCTGCCAGCTCTTAGTTCACCCTTGTTTGCGTTCCACCAAGATGTTGGTATCTTCCTCATCTTGTCATGTTGTCTACTAGTCTCTGGGGCTTCTGTTAGAACTGCTGCTATCAGTGACAATGTAGCAGCTGCTGGAAGGTGTTGTATTGCACAAGGCATAACTGGTTGATGGGTTATAATGGCACTGAAAAAAAAAGACATACAACCAGTCCTCATACTTATGACCATCATAATGTCCCTGTAATCACATGATCAAAATGCGAGCATTAGGCAACTGGCATGTATTTACAATGGTTGCAGTATCCTGAGGTCACGTGATCACCATTTGTAACCTTTTAAGGAGGCTACTGACAAACAAAGTCAATGGAAAAATGTTTGTACTGACAAAGTCAATGGAAGAATGCCACAAAGAAGAGGGGGTCAACTTATTTTCCAAAGCACCAGAAGGCAAGACAAGAAACAATGGATGGAAACTAATCAAGGAGAGAAGCAACCTAGAACTAAGGAAAAACTTCCCAACAATGAGAACAATCAACCAGTGAAACAGCTTGTTTTCAGAAGTTCTTAAAAAGTTATTTTTAAGAGACTGGACAGCCACTTGTATCAAAATGTATAGGGTCTCCCACTTGAGCAGGGGGTTGGACTAGAAGACCTCCAATGTCCCTCCTAGTTCTATTCTGATTGCTGATTGATTATTGATTTAAGAAGCTGGATTTGCTTAAAGACCATGGCAAAAAGGTGATAAAATCTTTACTTGCATCTCAAACCATTCATAAACCTTTGAGTTACTTTCAAACATTTCTATTAATTTCTTCTTGCAATCCTCCACTATTGACTCTCTTACTGTGATAGCATTTCATTTAATCTCCATCTGAAAGAAGATTTCCTTTTAAATTTATAGGATTATGATCAGAAAGTTTTCAATAAAATCTTAATTTTAGAGATCTTAGAATTCATTTTTTTTGAGGTCCAAATCATATCTGTTCTTCAAAAACATCTATGTTTTTAATGAAAACAGAAAAATAAATACATTCTCTGGGGATGTCATTTTTCTGTCTCTATATTCACTAAAGCTTAGTTATCTATCAATTTTTTTAAAAAAGCTTTTAGTAATTCACCTTCAGTAACTTGAATATTCTTCTCTGATGTGCTAATTGTGAAGAAATCACTCCTTTTCAATCTCCCATCAAACATCAGTTTTCACAAGAAAAAGCTTATTAGTCGCTCCATAAGTTATATAAAAAAATTCATTTATCTTCCTAGGGCATTAATTCCCTAAATCATGGTTTTAGCCCCTTGTAATTCAACTTCTACACCAACAAATCAGTCATGTTCATCAGTTAAAAGACGTTCTAGTTTTAGTTGAGATTTAATAGAAGACAACTCCATTTATTTATTTATTTTTAAGTCCAGCTGAAAGACATTCTCCCAACTTTTACAAGTCAAATATTTTATGTTTTTTTTCCTAATAAGACTCCCTTGTAGGAAAATTTTGTTGTTTTAATTTTTTTAAGGAGTGATTATTTCTTGAGGTGCATTTGTTCCATTTATGTTTTACATTAAGCATTTATAATCCATAATTAGGCCAACAGTTTAAAAAACTCAATGCCAGTAGCACCTAATTCAGAATCACCTTTTTCAAAATCATTTTGCATCTGTTGAGATTTTGGAGCAGTCACTTCATTCGAGTGTTCCAGATTTACTTTAAATCTTCCACCACCACCCCAAATCTGTCCTTTTGAATAGATTTCAGTCAAAATCTGTTTAGAAGTAAAAATCATACCTTCTAATTTGTCCCAATAAAATAAAATCTTTTTCTGTTTTGGTATCTCAAATATCTCATCAAAAAGGAATAGTTCTTAAGTTTTAATTCTTAAGTAGAATTCTAATTGGAATTTCTTTTAGGATAATTATATCTATATTATCAATCTCACATCTCGTTTTGAAAGCTAAACTGTTAAACAGAAGATAAACACAAATTTCCTCTACTTTTTAAAATTGTAATTGCAGGCATGCACCACATCTGTGTTTGCACAGTTACAACCAAATATTCAATCTAATCAAGTTACTTTAATTTTTTATTTTGTGAATCAAATCAATTGTCAACATTTAATTTATAGCAAATGCGTTCCCATGGAAGGTTTGAGTTTGCTAATTTAGTTAGGATTTTTGTAATGTAGTTTCATAAAAAAATCAATCTTTTTGTAAAGTAACCTTTCCCTTCATCAGTTTTTAACTTTCTTCCTTATTGAAGTTTTCACCAACTACTCCACATACTTTTAAGTCTTTAATTCTTTTTTTAAATGTATAATCCCATCCAAAAAAGGAAAACCACTAAGAGAAATATTTATCTGTTGTAGAACAAGTCTCTATCAGGCTAAAAAATAATCATAATCAAATGTGGTTAAGAAATGAGGATTTGTTGGTTCTTGTATCCATATTGGCTGCACCACAGCAGTGAATCTAGGTAGACTCCCACTCCTCCCAGCCATTCAACTAGCAAGCAAACTGCAAAAACTTCCATTTTTGCTGTTAATTCAAGGAAAACAGCCGTCAGTTATCAGAGGGGTTGATTTCATGCTTCCTCCTTTATCTGGAGAAAATTCAATACCCAGCACTGACTACTGGATGTGGATCTCAGTTGTGGTGCTATGACCATTTCCCCCAAAACAAACTAAATGACCATTAATCTTCACTGGAAGTCAGTTATTTATATTCTCATCACGGGAATGTTTGTTATATCTTCTTTTGGAGCTCTTCTGTTTTCAATCATTGTTGTTTAACTCTGTTTAGTTCTCTAAATACCTGTTTTGGTTTAGTTTTGTGAAATTTTCTAATTCTTCCCCCCCCCCCCTTTTAACTGTGATTTTCATCTACTACACTGATGCAAACATGTTAAGAATTTATCTCATATCAGTTTTACATATCTCCAATATGGTTGTCTCTGATATCCTTAGAGTTGTATTTATGTTGAAGAAACATTTTGGTTTTTTATATTTCTGAAATATATCTTCTTTAAAGACTGTTATTCATCCTCTATTTGAAAAGCAATTTTTCTTCTCCACATATGTCATTGAGAGAATTTCCAGCTCCTTAATAAATGATGTGAGAGCCTTAGAAACCCAAAATATATCAATTATTAATATCTACTATCTCTTACAGAAAAGAACATATAGCCCTTCCTTCAGGTTTGTAGTCGCCAAGCATTCATCAAAGCAGGAATGTCCATGTACTAAAAAACCCTTTCGGGAGCATTCGTCCATTTTTCTCTTTGAGAAGTGAATTTGCCTAAGATCTAGCATTTCATTCAATGTTTCCCCATCTGCACTTTCTATTAGAATTTTTCATAAAACCTTTCATTAGTATTATTGGGGCATAGAAGAATGTCAGATTTAAACTTTTGTTTTATTTTCTTAATATCAAAATTAAAATCCATCCTTTTTTATCTTTTAATTGCTCTGATGTCTTCTAAGAGGGTGATTTAAGATAAATTTGAATCTGGAAATTATCCATGTATTTTTATGTATTCTTACACAATTATAGTATATAGCTATAGTATAATTATAATATTTGATTTTGCCACTATTATTAAAAATCATTTTAAAACTAGACAAAAAGCATCATTGCTTAACTTTACAAGAATTAGATTAATAGGAATTAACATTTTGTTCTAACATAACTCTGCATATTATTTTGATATTATCAAGATACATGCATTATATAACAAAAATAAAACCTATATAATTTATGTCACTCTAGAATATAGTTTATTTGTTAGTGAAATCAAATCCCTGGTTGGGATCCACAAAAATTGATAATAGACAAGATACTATTTAATCAAGGGATAAATAAATAACTTTTACAATAATTATAATAAAATGTATTTTGTGGATTCTTCTCCATTCTCTATGAACCTTTTTTGTCCTATATTCTAATTTATTTAAAATTTGAAATTAGTAGTTCATTATTTTTAGACCACTTATACAAGCAGAAAAATACCTATACTGGTCCACATATTAATGGGCAAAAGATTTATCAAAAATAATGATTCTAAATAGTCAGTAACTATTTATATACTAACTCATAGCAAGTTATAACATTAAAGAACCTAAGGTATAATATATAATACAATACCTCGTATATAGTATAGAATATATACTCAATTATGAGAATAATTGATATATAAATGTTTTCTATGACATATATTTTAATTAATACTTACCTCTTTTCTGAACCCAGCCTTCTTTCACAATTGTAACATCGCTCATGATGGCTCTACTGAGCCTTCAGATTAAAGAATATTTTGCAGTATTACTTTTAGAGTTCCTTTATTCTTCTGACTTTCCAATATTTTAAAGCAGCCTGAAAGTGTAAATAAACAAAAATTAACTCTTCTGCTGTCCCAGGAATACTTAATCTATTTATTTATCACACTTATATAGCACCCATCTCACTAAAATGATTCATAATTTATGAATTTATATTCATAAAAATATAAAAAAATCATCTTGAAGAAAATATTATAAAAACTTTAAACTATGAAAACTGCATAGAATGAACAAAATATCAATCACAGTGGAGTCATCTCAAAAAGTTTTCAGCTTCCTGAGATTTCCAAGCTTGATAATATAAAAAAGTCTTAAGAAACTTCCAAAACAATAGCAGAGATGGAGTTAATGTGACTTAGGGACGTGAAGAATGTTCTTAAGGCAAATGTTATACAAGGAAGGCCTGTCTCCCGGCACCCATCAAATGTAAGTTCCTAGAAGATAGTATCAATAACATGCCTTCTCTGCCATATCAAATGGGATGGGCTGATGCAATCACCTAAAGCGGGGTCCCCAATCCCTGGGCCATGGTCCACTACCAGCTGCGTAAGTGGCAGACAAGCGTGGGCAAAGGTCTCCTTGCACAAGTGGCGGGCATACCCGCCTGCTGCTTGCACAAATGGAGCTACGCATGTTCCTGAGCCTCCATCTGCCACTCACAGGGAACTGTCCCCTCCCCTCCCTACTGGGCTGTCAAGCCAGAAAGGTTGGGGACTGCTGACCTAAAGGCAGTTCTCAGATAACTGGACCTATTTCATGAAAGCCTTTAAAGGTTAAAACCAGCGAATTGGGTCCAAAAGCAGATTGGCAGTCAATGCACCTTGCAGAGCAGAGGTATAATATCTTCTAGGAGCAGACATAAACTGCCTGTGCCTCTGCATTCTTCAGCAGTTGAAGCTTCCAGATATTCTTCAAGGGCAGCCCCATGTACAGCACATTACAGTAATCCAGTTTGGAGGTGCCTAGGGCATAAGTGACTGTGAGCAGAGTCCCCTGATCCAAGAAAGGAGGCAATTGGTGCACAACACAAAGATGTGCAAAGGCTCTCCCAGTGATGACTTTAAATATAAATACTGGCAATTTCCCCACAAAATAATACATAGAATAGTTTATAAAAAATGTAAAATGATATAGAAGAGCAGGCAGAGCTGGGGGGGGCAGAGTTAATTGTATAATCAGTTTAGAGTCATTATGTTACCACAAATGGTCCAAGCCCAACCCTCTTGAATTCAACTGACCCTTATCTGGCACCAATTTAGTACTGAATTTTAGTTTGACTAGATTCTTGAGTATAAGTTTGAACTACAGCTTAATGTATGGTCCTGATCCTTTGCTCCTGGTAAATACGTAGATACCACTTAAGACATAGCAGTAACAACAATACTAACAAAAAGTTTTAAAAGCACAGATAAACAGTAAAAAATTTATCTAGCATCAGGACAGCAACAACAGTGTGAATAAAATTAGCCTGGCCGAAATAAAAATCATTAGTTTAGTCACCCATTTCATCAATAAATTATAGTTCCTAATACATATACTTTTCAATTTTAACAAGTTGCCTCTATCAATATTTCAACATTGCTGTGATGGATATTGGTTCTCCCTGACCATGAGCAGAACAAGAATCTTATCACAACTGAAAAAAAATGTAACTGATTGTTTTATCTAGAAACAGATGGCTTATGAACTACATGCAGAATTCTAAAATTGCACCACAGATATCCAGTGGCAATTCAGCCATTTTAGCTACAGATAATCCTCAATTTAAGAGCATTTGTTTAGTGTCTGTTTGACTGTTTGAAGTTACAATAGTGCTGAAAAAAGTGATTTACAATCAGTCCTCGCAAAATAACTACATAACTATGACCATCGCAGGATCCCACAATCATGTGGTCAAAGTTCAGGCTTTTGGCAACTGGCATGTATTTACAACAGTTATAAATGTGATCACCATTTGCAATCATCCCAGGGGGCTTCTGACAAACAAATTGAATAGGGAAAACCAGATTCACTTAAAACTTCATGATTACTTAATAACCACAGTGATTTGCTTAACAGCTGTAACAAAAAAAATAATAAAGTTAGGAAGCATGAATTGTCTACAGGAAAAGAGATAGAAAAATATGAAATCGGTATAAGAACACTACAGCACAAACCATGTCTGATGTACTTGTTTCTAACAATGAATATAGACTCAAAAGGCCAGGGATTATTCCATCATTGTTTTCTCATCACTTTCCTCCATACACTAATGTTACAAAATTCCCTCTGGTAGTCAGTTAGCAAATACAGTGCATTCAGAAAGTATTCAGACCCCCCTCACTTTTGTCAATTTTGTTATGCTGCAGCCTGATTCTATAGTTGAAATTCACTTTTTTCTCATTAATCTATACTCCGTACCCCATAATGACAAAGTGAAAACAGAATTTTAGAAATGTATGTAAATTTATTAAAAAGAAAAAAAACTGAGACAATTGGGAGACAGAAGGTTCTGTAAGTAACCTAATCCTGTGCCATGTAGGATTTTATAGATTATAACCAGATCTGTGAATGTTCTCCCTGATGCTCCTGTTAAATGAATGCAAAGGTAATTAAGCAACAACTGGGTACCTCATGAGTGGGGGAGGCCCTGGGAGGCATCTGGATCCATAAAAGAGACAGACAAGCAGCACAAAGCTTTGCAAAGCCAAAAACAGCCTAGCAGGAGGGAAGAACCCAGCTAGATTAGGACCTACCACCACATTCCAATGCCAGGAAAATAAGTCTCTGTGCTTGACTGATGAAGTCACATTTGTAGGCTGAGCCTATGTCTCCATCCCTGGCTGTTGGGAGACTGCAAATCTCTCCTGGCTCTTGCTGGGCTTTGGGGAAGAAAGCCAACCGCATACAAAGGCAGTAGCTTCAGGACAAGCTTCCCAAAACCTTTCTTGCTAACCCCCCTCCCTCCCTCCCTCCCTCAGAAACCCATATTTCTCCAAGACAAAAAAAAAGCTGGGAGGGACAGACTTATTGATTTTTCTCCCTAATGGGAGGGGGGAATTAGGTACTGACACTAAACTCTTCAGCTCTGCCCTCCAACCCTGATCTCTTTTAACTACTTAATTTGCTAAATTTATTGCCCAGAATGCCAAAGTTTATGGGTGACCAAAGTTAAAATGAAATACACAATATGAATATAAAATCTGATTTCCTCACTGCTTTAGAACTTTTTCTTTTTACACATTTCAAAAGTACACACTCACACAGTCAGTCAATTGGTAATGAACAGCACACTAACCAGACATTGCAAGTCATGAAAAAGAAATGATTATTACAGCTATGGGTCTCGGGAAGCTAATATTATTATTGAAGCAAAGAAAAGATCTAATAGGAAGGTATTGAAAAGGTGACTCATATGACTACAGGTAGTCTTCACTTAACCACAGTCATGACCAGTAACTCGATTGCTAAGCAATACAGTTAAGTGATATATCACATGACTTGCTGGACTTAATATCAGCTGTAGATATTAAGGATGACATCAAGTGACCATGACTTACTGTCAGCTTCTCCACTGATTTTGCTTGTCAGAAGCTGGCTATTAAGCTTGCAAATGACAATCATGTGACCACGGGACACTATGATTATTGTAAATGCATGTAAATGTTGGTTGCATAATGAAGTTCCCTGTTACATCTACTTGTTTTCCTTTAGACCTTGGTCTGGAAAACAATGATGGGAAAAAAATTCTAAAGGAGATCTAAACATCTTCAAGGATAAATACAGTCACAAGACTGCTATATTCTCTCAATATTCTCTTAGCACTATTACAAACAAAGGCAATAAGACCAAGAGAAAGCTGAAAAGAAATCAGTATCTTAAGTGTCATTCATGTATTTGTTTTAAACCAAGCAGCAATTTAGCGTCTACCATGATGCAGAAAAACAATCAGTGGATGGAGAATGAAGGTCCTTCAGATAATCATCCTGCATTCTATTACCCAAAATAAAAATATTAATCTAAGTAGCAAACTATAAATTCTGCTCTGACACTTAGAAATTACGGAGATCCTATATGGTATTGCCAAACGTATATTTGATATACTACCTGCTGCCCCAGTGAAGCATTATTATTATTGAACACAAATGAATCATATTGATGCTTACAAGCATTTATTTTATTTTATTATTCATTTGTATCTTGCCTTTATTATTTTTACAAATAACTCAAGGTGATAAATATATCCAACACTTTCCTTCTCCTATTTTCCCCACAACTCCTCTGTGAGATGGGTTGGGCTAAAAGACAGCGATTGGCCCAAAGCCACCCAGCTGGCTTTCATGGCTAAGGTGGGACTTGAACTCATGGTGTCCCAGTGTCTAATTTGGTACCCTAACCACTAGACCAATCTGGCTTAACTATAGAAATAATTCTGGCCATTCTTTGATTAACCTGATAATCAAATAATCATAACATGTCAGTTCTACTGCTTTATAACGTATTAAAGAAAACTGTTTTACAATAATTTCCATAATCCAAAACAATATTTCTCTTTTGATTATTTCCTTTAATTCTAGTTATGTCTGATAAACATGAAGAATGAAGAAAAATAATGTAATTCTTGATCCCAACTGAGCAGAGATGAAAAAGTAAAACAAAATACTAAGCAATCCCAAAAAATCTATAAAAAAGATTTTGAGATCACTAAATATCTCAGAGATACCTGAGGTAATTACAATAGGCACTCACCCAATAAAGTGCATTCAAAACTTACATAAAGGTTGGGTTCTAATTCTTCTATTGTCAGACTAAGATTCATATTCATAGGAGAAAGTTTTCTATTTTTTGTTTCCCTTCTCTTTTTCTCTGCATCAATTCCTGTGAAAGGAGTAAGAAATTCTTGCAAATACAGTTTGTAAATAATATGAGAGTTAGAAACATATACCAGAAGTAATGGAAATCATACTTCCTACAAGAAATAGCAATTGAACATCTACTCACCATCTCTTTCTACATCAGTAATTATGCCCCAGATTGGTATATTGTGCATCTCTATTAACAGTTTATGCTCAAGGCAGAAAACATGTTTTTCATTATAACTGTGAGATAAACCATGTATCTTTCTTCTTTTTAAAGTCTCCAATTTAAAAATAGCAGAATTATGAAATTCAAAATTTAGATAATATAACTGTGGCTATTAACTTCAAGATGAAGTTTTTTTATATTTATATGCTAAAGGCTGAATCAGTATATTGAGAAATCAATGGAAAGACCAAAACATACTTATTACTGACAATTAAAAGTGGTGTTGGTCGTATCTGAACGCCTTTTCTCAGCATGACGATGGAGAATCCACCAATGGGTTTTCCTTGTCTTCTGCCCATAGACTAGTCGGCCAATTTTGCTCCACCTCTCCTCTTGAGACCTCCCCTTCCCAGTCTTGACTGAGGCGAAGTGTTTGGCTACATTTCCTTGTGTTGGCTCAATCCTCTCCCCTCACAGGATCTGACTGGCCTCAAGGGTGGGAGCGGATTCTCCATCGTCATGCTGAGAAAAGGCGTTCAGGTAAGACCAACGCCCCTTCTCCAGCATGACGAGTGGAGAATCCACCAATGGGACATACCAAAGCCTCACTGTCCCTGTGGGTGGGGAGCAGTCTGGGCCTGTGTCCCAATCTCTGATACTACACATGGGAGTACCCTCCTGCCAAAGGAGGCCTCCGCAAATGTGAACCTATCTAATTTGTAGTGTTTTATAAAAGGGGAAGGCGACGGCCACGTTGCTGCTCTACATATTTCTTCAATCAGCGCCTGAGTTGTCCATGCTGCTGAGGTGGCAGCGCTGCGCATGGAGTGTGCAGTGATTTGTTTGAGGACCATCAAGGACTGCCCCCTGTATGCCTCTGCTACCGATTGTGGATGTGGAGACTCTTTGACCTCTTGTGTGAGAGTAGGAGACAAACAGGGCTTCCGATCTGCGGAAGGCTGCCGTTCACTTGATGTATTGTTTTAAAACTCTGCGAACATCTAAGGTGTGCTACTTGCATTCCAATTCATGGCAAGGCTCGGGGCAAAAGTTTGGTAGCACCACCTCCTGTGATCTGTGAAATAGGGAATTGACCTTTGGAATGAAGGAGGGATCCAAACATAATACCACCCTGTCCATGTGGAAGGTACACAGGTCCTCCCTAACTGACAGGGCTGCTAACTCTGAGATGTGCCTTGCTGAGGTAACGGCGATTAGGAAGGCGACCTTAAGGGTCAGGAATTGTAAGTTGCAAGTCCGAACAGGTTCAAATGGAGGTAGGGTGATGGCCTGTAGGACCTTAGGCAGATCCCAGGAGGGGTATCTGTGGACTACGGGTGGCCTGCTGTTTGTTGTGCCCTTAATGAAGGAATGGGTGTCTGGCTAGTGGTTTGGAGTTACCATAGGTGAGGATGGTAGATAGGGCGACCACATGATAACGAACTGTGTTGGGCGCTAACCCCCTATCCAGACCCTCCGCTAAGTAGTCTAAGATATCTGGAATAGAGATACTGCCAGGGGTCTAGCTGTTGTCTATTGCACCAGCTGCAGTAATTTTTCCAAGTGGAATCATAGATCTTGTTAGTTGTAGGCCTTCTAGAGGCCTGGAGTATTCTAATGACTCTTTGTGAGAAGTTGTCTGTTTCTAGGAGACTCCGCTCAAGCGCCAGGCGGCCAATTGGAGCCACTGTGGCTCTGGATGTAGTAGGGACCCCTGGTTCAGGGAGATTTGGTCGTGTGGAATCCTCCACAGTGGAGATGTAGATACAGATCGGCAAACCAAGGCTGTTTTGGCCAGTGCGGTGCAATGAGTATCACCTCCGCTTGTTCCTGCAATATCTTCCTGATGGTCCCTTGTATCAGAGGAAGTGGTGGGAATGCATACAGCAGTCCTTTCGGCCCCTGAACTCAGAGTGCATCCGCTCTCTCTGCCCCTAGTGTCGGAAACCGGGAGAAGAACCTCGGGAGTTGGGTGTTCTTGGGGCTGGCAAACAGGTCCAGCACTGGGTGGCCGAATCTCTCTGATGCTTCCTTGAAGAGAGCAGGGTGCAGGCTCCACTCTGAGTGGTCTATCGTCGCCCCGCTCAGGGAGTCTGCTTGGTGATTTGCTTCTCCTGAGATGGGCTCAGCCTTGAGGGAGGCTAGGTTGGACTCTGCCCAGGCCCCCAGCTTGGGCCTCGGCCATGAGGGAGCTGGACCGAGTGCCTCTCTGGCGGTTGACGTGCACCTTGGCCGCCATGTCCATGAGAATTAGAACATGCTGATGCGCCACTGTGCTGCAAAAGTGAGAAAGGGCCAGGTGTATGGCTCTGAGCTCTAGCCAGTTTATGCTGTGTTCTAGGTCTTTCTTTGACCATTGACCTTGTGCCAGTTGCGCTTGCAGGTGTGCTCCCCAAACCGAATAAGCTGGCATCCATCGTCAGAGTGACTTGGTCGAATTCCCTGAACAAGTGTCCCTTCCCTACCGCTGGGGAAGACCACCATAAGAGCGATCTTAGGACCTTTGGTGGAATCTTTACTCTTTGGTTGGAGGAGCCTATCCCCCTTTTCGGAAACGGGAGCAGGAACCACTGCAGATCTCTGGGATGTAGCTGTGCCCAAGGCACTATTGCGAGGCATGACACCATCTTTCCTAGCAATTGCGAGAGTGTGGACAGTGTTATGGTCGTTTCCTTCGGATGAGCCTGACCAGGGCTCGAATGCTATGTTGACAATCTCGAGAGAGATGGGCTGTGCATTTTTGTGTATCTATGATCGCTCCCAGATGAAGGAGGTGGGTCGAAGGAACGGTCTGACTCTTTTGGAAATTTACTGAGAAGCCATGTTCTTGAAAGGTTGTCAAAGTCAGTGCCAGATCTGATTGCGCTGTCTGGACTGACAAGGATTGGATGAGAATGTCGTCCAGATAACATTGGATGCGCACAGAAATTGTTCTCAGGTGCGCGGCAAGTGTTGCCAATACCTTTGTGAATACCCTGGGAGCTGAAAAAAGTCCAAAAGGCACGACCCTGTATTGAAAATGCTGCCCTGTGTGGTAGAACCCGAGGAACCTCCAGTGGTCCGGAAGTATGGGAATGTGAAGGTAGGCCTCCATCAGATCTATGGATGTCAGCAGGTCTCCCTTTCTGATGCTTGCTAATATCGATTGGAGGGTTTGCATTTTGAACTTTCTGTATGCCAGGTGCCTGTTCAGGTGTTTTAGGTCTAGTATTGCTCTCCACCACCACCACCCGAACTCTTTGGGACTATGAATAAGATGGAATAGAATCCTTGTCCCCACTTATCTCTTTCTACCGGTTCTATGGCCTGAATGTCCAGAAGGTGCTGAATGGCCTCCTTGATGAGGTTCCTTTTGATTAGATCCCTTGGAGATGGGCAAGGGATGAAGCGGTTTGGGGGTATTGAGATGAATTCCAGTGATAGGCCAAATCTGACAATATTTAGGACCCAAAGGTCCGTGGTGGTGGCTTGTCATTTGTGAATGAAGAGAGCTAGCCTGCCACCAATGGGGGAACTCTCCCCGTCACTTGGATCTATGGTAGGGGCGCCTCCACGCTCCTCAAAAGGGCTGCTTTGATTGGAACTGTTGTCTGAATCTGTCTCTGTTGCCGGTTCTCTCCCCGTCGGTCTGACCTGGGCTGATAGGGGCGAGAAAAGGAACCTTGCTCTGTGCCTGTGTCGGATCGAAAGGACGGTCTGCGGGAATAGGAAGAGGCTCTCCTCTCCGTTCTCTTTGTCAGGTGGGCCAGAAACTTGCGCTTGTCCTTGTTTTCAATCAGATAAGGATCAAGAACCTCACCAAAAAGCCGGCCGCCCTTATAGGGTGCTGCCGCTAACCGTCACGTTGCCTTCATGTCGGCTCTCCAATGCTTGAGCCACAGCAATCTGCGTGCTCCGGTGTTGTACAGTATTGCCCTAGAGGAATAGTTAGATGCGTGCAAGGATGAGTCTGACATGAGCTCTGCTGTCGCCACTAACCTTCTTAAGGTCTGGTGGGTTCTCTCCTCCTCCAGTGAGACACTCGCCTGGAGTTGACGCAACCAAAGTAGCGAAGTCCTAGCGAAAAAGGATGTAGTGATGGCTGCCTTAATTGCCCACGCCGAGGCCTGGTGTGCCCTGCGGAAGGTGAGGTCCATCTTCTTATCCTCTGATTTCAGGGCCTCCGCTGCATCCCCGGCTATCGGGGGTGGAGAGAAAAGAGTAGCAATGGGTTCATCTACTGTCGGCACCTCTATTATCTCTGATAGTGCCGGGTCTATGTTGAACATTTTCTTGTCTGTCCCCCCCAGTGGAAGGAAGGAACCCGGTGCCCCCATGTTGTTCTGAACAGATTCAAAGAAGAGAGTTGGGTAGGGGATAAATTGTTGTGTATAAGTGGGCTGTGAAAACACCTCGTTGTTTGTGACCTGGCTGGTTGAGCGTCCTTTCAGAGGAATCAAAGGCCTCTCGACCCTTGCGGTGCTGCTTGCCTTGTGAAGCAGGGTCTTGAATAGAGACGGATTAAAGAAGCCCACAAATGGGGGAGGATCTGGGGATACATCTTCCTCATCATACAGCCCCTGATCCATCAGCTCCTGGTCCTCCGCAGGAGACCTCCTGCTTCTGGAGGACCTGGAGATGGAAATTGAGTCTTGATACACAGATGCTTCCTCTTGGGAAAGACGGGAGCCACCCCTTGAAACCATAAACCCTGTTCTGGAACAATGGTGTCTTGAGGAAGCCATGGCCTGTGCGACCGCCTGATATATCTGGGATTATAGATGTTCTGAAGACAATGCTCTATGATTGTCTGAGCGACGGGTGCCTGATTCTGAACCCAGACTTCCAGGCCCCTCACCTAGGGGAGATCCGTT